GGGGACTCGTGTGTTCTTCGAGGATGTCCCGAACGCCAGTGGGTCCAGGGGTCACAAAGCCCGGCAAGGGCCCCGTGTTCCAAAACCCGGCGTCGACTTTTGGGGGATTCTGGGTCACCACCTGATATCTCACCACCTGGTTTGCGGGCTCCCAAGGGAGTGCCCACTCGGCGCTCCCGCCAGAGGGCATCACAGCGTACAGTCGGGGTGGATCGGAGAGGGCGCGCGAGAGGACACGAGACCCGTCCGAGGGCAGGATCAATCAACATCGAATCGGCAATTCGGATCAAATCGGAATGTGCGTCGGATCGGGCCGCGTCGGCACGAAGTCGCAATCGAATCGGATCGGCTGCACCAGGATGCTCAAAAGCGCCATGTGAGCATCGGACCGCATCGGATCGCTGGAAAATCGAAGTCGAATCGGCTCGAGCTAGCCGAAATCGAGATCGAATGGGACCGATCGGCTCGAAGTGGGCACCGGAGGGCCACACTACCCCAGGAATGCAGAGGACATGTGACGCGGAACGCATGACACAATGATGCCCTCGACTTGGGAGGGCTGACCTGCTACCCAGGCTCGACTGCAGAGCGCGCGAATGCTCGGGTCGAGAGCGCTGGGGCCCCATGCGCGCTGCGTTTTGAAAAGCAGGCCCCCTCGACTTGAGAAGGCCGACCTACTGGCCAGGCTCGACTGCAGAGCGCACGAATGCTCGGGTCGAGAGCGCTGGGGCCCAATGCGCGTTGCGTTTTGCCAAGCAGGCCCCCTGAATTTGGGAGGGCCGACCTGCTGGCCAGGCTCGACTGCAGAGCGCACGAATGCTCGGGTCGAGAGCGCTGGGGCCCCATGAGGGCTGTGTTTTCCAAAGCAGGCCCCCTCGATTTGGGAGGGCCGACCTGCTACTCAGTCTCGACTGCAGAGAGCACAAATGCTCGGGTCGAGGGCGCTGGGGCCCCATGCGCGCTGTGTTATGCAAAGCAGGCCCCCTCGACTTTGGAGGGCGGACCTGCTAGCCAGGCTCGACTGCAGAGCGCACGAATGCTCGGGTCGAGAGCGCTGGGGCCCCATGCGCGCTGCGTTTTGAAAAGCAAGGCCCCCTCGACTTGGGAGGGCCGACCTACTGGCCAGGCTCGACTGCAGAACGCATGAATGCTCGGGTCGAGAGTGCTGGGGTCCCTGCGCATTGTGGTTTGCAAAGCGGGCCCACTCGATTTGGGAGGGCGGACCTGCTCGCCAGGCTCGACTGCAGAGCGCACGAATGCTCGGGTCGAGAGCGCCGGGGCCCCGCGCACGTTGCATTTTGCAAAGCAGGCCCCCTCGACTTGGGAGGGCCGACCTGCTAGCCATGCTCGACTGCAGAACGCGCGAATGCTCGGGTCGAGAACGCCCGACGCCCGGCCCCATACGCATTGCGTTTTGCAAAGCAGGCCTCCTTGACTTGGGAGGGCCGACCTGCTGGCCAGGCTCGACTGCAGAGCGCACGAATGCTCGGGTCGAGAGCGCTGGGGCCCCATGCGCATTGCGTTTCACAAAGCAAACCCCCTCGATTTGGGGGGGGCCGACCTACTAACCAGGCACGACTGCAGACGAATGCCCGGGTCGAGAGCGCTGGGGCTCCGTGCAAGTTGTGATTTGCAAATCAGGCCCCCTTTGACTTGGGAGGGCCAACCTACTAGCCAGGCTCGACTGCAGAGCGCATGAATGCTCGGGTCGAGAGCGCTGGGGCCCAATGCGCGGTGTGTTTTGCAAAGCAGGCCCCCTCGATTTGAAGGGCCGACCTGCGAGCCAGGCTCGACTGCAGAACGCGCAAATGCTCGGGTCGAGAGCGCCGGGACCAATGCGCGCTGTATTATGCAAAGCAGGTCCCCTCGATGTGGGGTGCCGACCCACTAGCCAGGCTCGACTGCAGAGCGCACGAATGCTCGGGTCGAGAGCTCTAGGGACCCATGCGCGCTGTGGTTTGCAAAGTAGGCCCCCTCGACTTGGGAGGGCCGACCTGCTGGCCAGGCTCGACTGCAGAACGCGCGAATGCCCGGGTCGAGAGTGCTGGGGTCCATGGACGTTGTGGTTTGCAAAGCGGGCCCATTCGATTTGGGAGGGCCGACCTACTAGCCAGGCTCGACTGCAGAGCGCACGAATGCTCGGGTCAAGAGCGCTGGGGCACCATGCAAGTTATGTCATGCAAAGCAGGCCCCCTCGATTTGAAGGGCCGACCTGCGAGCCAGGCTCCACTGCAGAGTGCACGAGTATTCGGGTCGAGAGCGCTGGGGCCCCATCAGGGCTGTGTTTTGCAAAGCAGGCCGCCTCGATTTGGAAGGGCCGACCTTCGAGCCAGACTCGACTGCAGAGCGCACGAATGCCCGGGTCGAGAGCGCTGGGGCTCCGTGCAAGTTGTGATTTGCAAATCAGGCCCCCATTGACTTGGGAGGGCCAACCTACTAGCCAGGCTCGACTGCAGAGCGCATGAATGCTCGGGTCGAGAGCGCTGGGGCCCAATGCGCGGTGTGTTTTGCAAAGCAGGCCCTCTCGATTTGAAGGGCCGACCTGCGAGCCAGGCTCGACTGCAGAACGCGCAAATGCTCGGGTCGAGAGCGCCGGGACCAATGCGCGCTGTATTATGCAAAGCAGGTCCCCTCGATGTGGGGTGCCGACCCACTAGCCAGGCTCGACTGCAGAGCGCACGAATGCTCGGGTCGAGAGCTCTAGGGACCCATGCGCGCTGTGGTTTGCAAAGTAGGCCCCCTCGACTTGGGAGGGCCGACCTGCTGGCCAGGCTCGACTGCAGAACGCGCGAATGCCCGGGTCGAGAGTGCTGGGGTCCATGGACGTTGTGGTTTGCAAAGCGGGCCCATTCGATTTGGGAGGGCCGACCTACTAGCCAGGCTCGACTGCAGAGCGCACGAATGCTCGGGTCAAGAGCGCTGGGGCACCATGCAAGTTGACAGCGGCACAACACGCTGCGTCAGCAGACACGTAAGTGGGCCACGAACGGAGGGAGGAGATGCCAGAGAAGGCGCATGGTGGAACCCCACTGAGGACTTATGAGGACTCCACCGCCTCCCATCCTCATCCTCCCTCCCTCCCTACCTCGCCCTCTCTTTCCCCGCCCCTGGGGGGAGGCGAAGGAGGAGGGTTGAGAACAGAAGGTGGAGGGAGAGATGCCGGGGGGGGGGGGCTTCCAGGTGGGGTCTGGCAGGCGCGGCTAAGGACCGTCAGAGCCCCTCTCAGGGGGGTGGGGGCTGGGGGAAGAAGCGGGGGGTGGGGAACGCCCGGGAGAGGGTAACGAATCTCGCGTCAGGGCAAATGTTTGGGCGCCCCTCAGTTACACGGTCCGGAACTGCTGCTCAGCGTGTCGCGGCGGCGGCCCCGGCGACACGCTGTGCCATTCGAACGGGAAGCGTGTCGCTCCGCTCCGCGGGGCGAGGGGCTCGGGAAACCTCGGGACGTTGACACCTCGGGACTGGGCGGTGGATCACGTGTCGCGCCGAAGCGTGGTGGGCCAGACCTGTCGGAACGACACGCTATCCAAAAGTTCTGTACAGTATGGGTACATGTGTGCGAATATGTGCGCGCTGCCTGGTTCCCGGCTGATCGAGGTGGCTGGCGCGGGTCTGGTCACGCCGCAGGCCTGTTCCCGTATTCCCAGCAAAGGCGACGAAGAACACAGGACGCCTGAAAACGACACCGAGGGTTCTCGGCGTATCGACCCCTGCCATCGACACGGTACTAGTGGGCCGCGCCAAGTCGCACGTGCACACGACTTCGGAGTCCACGTGCACTGTGCTGGCACCTTCACGCTCTGTACACTTTGTCTCAGAGGCGGTATGCATGGAACGGGAATTCTACGGTCGGGAGCGGCTGCTTCCCGTGCCGAGGCGACGGTGGCACTCCTGTGGGGACACCTCGGTGGCAAGCTTGCTCCCCGTTGTCCCTTGACGCCTGGCGTGTGCGTGTCGTTCCGCTCCGCGGGGCGGGAAGCACAGAAAGAGGTCGGCACGTGGACCCCTGGGGGCCGCGAGACGGATAGCGTGCCGCGCCGAGGCGTGGTGTGCCAGAACCGGCGGAACGACACGCTGACCAAAAGCTCCCGACCGTATGCACCGACCCTGGGTTCAAGGGGCTGGCGGTTTCCGATACCCTGCGTGGCCTAATCCTAATCCTCCCCCCTGCCCCTCCTCCCTCCTCCCCATACTGATGTTCCTCCTCCACATCCTCCTCCTCCTCCCCTTACCTCCCCCTGCCTTTCCCCGTCCAGGTTCCTGCTCCTCCTGCTCCTCAACATCCTTATCCTCGTCATGTATTCATCTTCGTCGTCGCCTTTCACACTATCCTTCTCGTATCCTCATCCTCCACCTCATTCCTGTCTTATCCTTCTCCTTCGCCTTTCTACCCGCCTACCCCCCCACCTCCATCCGACCTTTCTCCTAGTCCTCGTCGTTCCACTGTTGTTGTTCCTCCTCTTCGCTTCTCATTCCTCTCTTCTGATCCTCCTCCGCATCCCTCTCCTCCTCCCTCCTCCCTCCTCCTACCTCCTCCTGCTCATCGCTCCTCAAATTCCTCGTGCCTCCTGGTCCTCCTGGTCCTCCTCCTCCTCCTCCTCCTCCTCCTCCTCTCCTCCCTTCTGCTTCCTCCTAATGTCCATCCCTCCTCTCCACCTCATCTCTCAGCACCTGTTTTTCTCCACCTTTGACTCTACCTACTCCCCGCTGCTCCGCCTTCCCCTTACATCCTCCCTCCACCCATCCCCCCCGCCATCCCTCCTCACACCTCGCACCTGCCTACTCGTTCTCTCCTCGTCCTCGTGCGCAGGTAGCCCCGGTACCCCTCTGTCCCTGCTCTCTACTCCTCCTCTCCTCTTCCTTGATGGCGATATGGCAGTTCGGGTGCCACCTCATTACACATGCCTACTAACAAGTTGGCGAGAGTTGGGAGCTAAAGTCGCGGGCGGGGCTCTCCTCCTCCTTCTCCTCCTGCTCCTCCTCCTCCATCAACCTGCCCCCTCCTGCTCTGCCGAGCTCCAGGCAAGTCGGAGTGGTTGGGCTGGCACCGGAGCTGCATCAGATACTTGGCGCCTCGGCGCCGCAAACAGAGCTGCTCGCGAACCTCTCGCGACTGCCCGGGATACCAGCAAAGCTGATTGCACATAACACGCGACAGGACAAAAGACTCTTCCGCCGGCAACATGGCCTCCAAACCCACAGGACACAAGGGCACCCTTGCCCCGGGACTGCAAGGGACACGACGCGCGATGCACAGGACACAAACATACCGTTCATTTGGCAGGGTCGACCTACCAGTCCGGGCCGACTGCAACGGAGAAAGATGAGGAGGGAGAGGGTGGGGGAGGAGAGGTGTGGAGGACGACGAGGGCGGGGGTACCGTGTAAGAATGAGGAGCAGGAGGTGAAGGAGGAGGAGGAGGAGGAGCAGGAGATGGAAGACGACGACGAAGGCGAGACGGGAGGAATGGCGGTGGGGGCGCGCCAGGAGAGCGAAGAGGGCTTTCCAGGCGAGAGGGCTTCGAAGGCTCACGTCCAGGCCGCGTCGCCGTCAGCGCCATCGTCGCCGTCGTCCTTTGCAGCCACCTCCGCCGCCGTCCTGGTCCGTTGCAGCCTCCTCCGTCGCCGCCGTCATCGCCATCGTCGTCGTTCGCTCCCTCGTGCTCTTTGCCCTCCATGCCCTGGTCCTTCCTCCTCGTCCTCCATGTATTCCTCCTGCTCGGGCTCCTCGTGGTTCCTCCCCCCTCGTCTTCCCAATGCCGCCCCTCGAACATCATGTGCGCTTTCGTTCCTTCTCCTGCTGCCGCCCGCTGCTGCTCGGGCTGCTCCAGGTCCGCCCTTGCTCTCTCAGCTGCCAGCAGGCGCGCCTCCTCCTCCCCCTACCGAGTCCTTCTTGCTGGTGCAGTTCCAGCGTCGTGCTCCTGCATATCCTCCTGGTTCCCCTAATGATCCCCGTCCTTCTCCTGCTGCTGCTCCTCCCCTCCTCCTGTACACAACACGCGTAGGTGGGGATTCGTAACCAATATGCGTGACGCAAAACGTGAATCCGCGTCCTCTCTCGTCGTCGTCGTCGTCACCCTCCTCATCTTCTTCTCATCCCGTCTCCCCGCAACTTTCCTCGTCTTCCTCCTATTCCACCCCTCGCCTCCCCTTGTCCTCCTCCCCCCTGGGGCCCTACATTCGAGGTAAGCATTCGCGACCCGCGCGGCATTAGGCGCCGTCGATCAAAAACCGCGCGGCATGACGCATGCCGCGCGAGGCCGAAACGTCCTTAAGGCTAGCATGCATTCTTAGCGAGAGCAAGAAGCAAGCTGACGTTCTCAGCGTTAACGTAAGCACGACAGGTTCGTGTCCTGCCGACTTCGGCGATGGTCCCTGTCACCGCGGAGCTCGTTCAACCTGGAACCATCGGCCGTTTCCGAAACGTTCGATCGATCAACATCGACCCATCCTGAGTGGCCGGCGGCGTTCAACATTGAACGCCCGCGGCGGGGTCGCACCCGGTCGACACGACACGGACCTACCGTCTCGGAGCAGAAGCAGCAAGAGCGGCACAGGAGGGGGGCCGACGCGGCTCGGCCCGCCTCCGAGGAGGCAGGTTCCCGGAGGAGGGGAGCGGGCGACGCGCGGGGGCAGTCGCTGCCGCCGTGGGCAGCACGCGGGACAGGGTACGAGTTAGGAAGAAAGGCGCTAGGGAAATGCACTTCACTCGAAGGCGCCAGGGAAATGCACTTCACTCGAAGGGCTTTCTTAAACAGCAGTCCAGGTCTAGATATACGAACGTTCTGCCAACAAGACAAGGCTCCGAGAAACCGCCGAGGGTCCAGTCCAGATTATTGGCGTCCAGAATGAAATCTAGAGTCCATGAATAGTGTTGCTTTCTCTTGGCATTCCTGATTGGTATAAGGGGCGGATGCCCAAACAATGTCTAAGAAACAACAGAGAATTAATCACACGCGATACCGAACAATTCCTGCGCAGATTGGGCCCTGCAGTGCGCCGGCAGCATGTAGCATGTAGGCCCGATTGCACTCTGCCATCATCATGGTCATCATCATCAGCATCATCATTATGATGCTGATCATTATGATGCTGATCATCATCATCAGCATCATCATTATCATCATCATGCGCATCACCATCATCAGCAGCATCATCATCATGATCAGCATCATGATGATGCTGGGCATCATCATCAGCAGCATCATCAGCATCATCAACATCAGCGTCAGCATGCCCATCAGCATCATCATCATAATCACAATCATAATCATAATCATAATAATAATAATCATCATCATCATCATCATCATCATCATCATCATCATCATCATCATCATCATCATCATCTCCATCGCTGTTATATCCAACATCGCCATTATGGTCATCGCCGCCTGGCTTGGAGGGGACAGCGGCACAAACAAGCGCACTGGCTAATAGAAACATGCTGAACACGCGAGGGCGGCGAAGAGATGGGAATTGCGAGGGTGGCGCTAGAAAAATATAGACGGTCGCTGAGTCCCCTAACCCGTGATAATGTCGGAGGGCGGCGGGAACGGGGACATTTCGCCTGGGACAAACCCAGTCGAAAAATCACACCGGACGAGATGGATCGCGGTCTGTTCGGGAAGCCGCTCTGCGCAAGCACTGGCGTGAGAAAAAGGAGACACGTGTTCAAGACAGCGACCGGCAGAAATCACAATTCAAGTAAAACCTCTTCGTATCGTAACGTGCCCCGCACCATGTTGGCTGGAACGCAAGGGCTTGGCTGTGGCGGCTGGCTCCCCCTCACAGCGCAGACGCATTGTGTCGCGCGGCCGCACTGACCACCGCCGGCCCCGCGACGACCCAATGGTTGAGCAGGGACCGACCGTCCCAGCATTCCTCTAGGTCTAAAAAGACATTTTCCTATCTAAAAAACAAAAAAACAAAGTGTTCGAATAACAAAGCCACTTCTTAGAACATGAAGCCCATGTGTTTAAACAAGGCACCCCCAGCCAGAAGTGTTCTAAGAGCATTTCTTTGATGGGCCTAGATTCAAACCAACACAACTCGCCACTGCTTGAAACAACCGGCTTCCCGGCCCAACAGCCTGGCAACGCCGGCTAGCCGGCGAGTTCCCCAGCAAGGGGCGGCGGCCGCTGCCCGCGCCCGCTCCCATCCGAGCGCGCTGCGTAGCTGCTAGGCGCTGGCCCATCAGCCTCGTCCTCAACCGTTTCCTCCTTTTTCTCCTGTTCCTTCCCCTCTTCCTTCCCCTCTCCTACTCTTCCTTTTATTCCTGCTCCTTCCCCTCCCCTTTCCCCTCCCCCTCCCCCTCGCCCCCCTCCTCCCCCTCCTCCTCCTCCATTCCTTAACCTTCTAGAAACATTTCCCTGTTGCACCCCGAGGCCACTTTTTAGGGCGGGTCGAGCGTTTCGCCTGAGACTTCCTCACCACTTGCGACCCTGAAGCTAAAAAACTGACAACAGCTTCACAGATGGAGGGCGGGTGGTTTTCAAAATGTTGCTCTCGCCTCAGCGTTGCGCACATTCTTGTTCAACCTGTGCAAGAGCTTCACGGATTGACGACGGGTGGTTTTCAAAATGTGGCTCTCGCCATAGCGCCGCGCACATTCGTTTTCCAGATTTGCAAGAGCTTCACGGATTGACGACGGGTGGTTTTCAAACTGTGGCTCTCGCCTTAGCGCCGCACACATCCGTTTCCAAGATTAGCAAGAGCTTCACGGATTGACGACGGGTGGTTTTCAAACTGTGGCTCTCGCCTCAGCGCCGCGCACATTCGTTTTTCTGTGTTTTGTTAAAAAAATGGCAAGAACTTCGCGGATTGAGGGCGACTCCTTTTCGAAATGTCGTTTTTGCCTTAGCGCCGCGCACAGTCGTATTAAGCACTTGTAAGAGCTTCACGGATTCCCATGATCAACGTACCAGAAATTGTGTTTTGGAAAGATTCACGATTACGCGGGTGCAGCAAGTATGTTGGTTCGCGGTGTCGAAATCCCAAAAATTGCGTCATGGTACGATTCCAGATCGTCAGGACACAGCATACGGTTTGATACATCGCGTTGAAATCAAGATAATAATGTGTTGGCACAATTCAGGATCTTCAAACAATTGCCTTTCACCGAACCAGTTCCCTCAATGGAAATGATGGGTTGTAGGGGCCTATGAAGAGGAAACTTGGAAGGAGGGTTAACTCCAACATCGTTGATGACCCTTGGGTTTCTACTGGTCATCCTCCTCCTCCTCCTCCTCCTCCTCCTGCTCCTCCTCCTCCTCCTTCTCCTCCTCCCCTCTCTTCCTCCTCCTCCACCTCCTCCTCCTCCTCCTCCTCCTCGTCCTCCTCCTACTACTACGACTATTACTACTACTACTACTACTACTACTACTACTACTACTACTACTACGACTACTACTACTACTACTACTACTACTACTACGACTACGCCTACGACTACTACTACTACTACTACTACGAACTTAACTATACGAACACGACTAACGAACTACTACTACTACTACTACTACTACTACTACTACTACTACTACGACTACTACTACTACTACTCGACTACTACTACGACTACGACTAACCCTACACTATTAAATAACTACTATACTACTACTACTACTCCACCACCACCACCACCACTACTACTACTACTACCACCACCACCACCACCCACCACCACCACCACCACCACACCACCCGCACCCCACGCACCACCACCACACCACCACTACCTACTACTACGACTACTACTACTACTACTAACGACTACTACTAATACTACACGACTACTACTCTACTACTACTAACTACTACTACCACTACCACTACCACTACCAACACCACTACCACTACCACTAACACTACCACTACCACTACCACTACCACTACCACTACCACTACTACTACTACTACTACTACTACTACTACTACTACTACTACTACTACTAAGACTACTACTACTACTACTACTACTTCTACTACTACTACTACCACTACTACTACGACTACTACTACTACTACTACTATTACTAATACTACTACTACTACTACTACTACTACTACTAC